CGATGTGAAGAGGTTTTGATAGAAGTCCCTTGCTATTTTTGTACATTCTGCAGTTGAGGTATACAATGGTCCTCGTTGTTGGTTGGTGGCTTCCAGGGCTTCACTAGTTGTTTGACCTACTTTTGTTCTAGCCATTGCAAAGAATCTCGCATCCATTTCTCCTTCCATCTTGTGTCGGCAAAGCTTACCACGGGTCATGATTCCTTGCCATCGGTGTTCCATATGTCTCAAGATCTGGGTTTCCAATGTTTGTATTTCGCTAGCTAGTTCTGTTATACGAATGGAGTCACTCCTGGTGTCGTCTGCTTGCTGTTGGAGTTGTTGTAATCAATGTTGTAGGTCTATTTCCTCCGCATGGCGCTGTGTCGCACGAAGTTTTAAGTACTCATTGCACTTGCGGCCCATAAAAGATAGGCCGTTGTTGAACCATAATATGTCATCCTAGATCTAGTCTTTTTGTTTTTGCGAGAAACACCAGACCTCTTTCAGATAGGTTTTAACGCGGTCTATGGTCAACAGGGACGTGTTGAGCTTGTAAAAGCCCTATCCTTGGTCCGGTTTCTTCCTGAAGGAGAATATGGCAAGGCACATTGCGTGGTTCAGGTCCGGGTGAGGGCTAGGGGGGAAGGTTTCAACTATTTGTAGGGCCCCTTGTAGTTCTTCTGAGATCAAAATCAGATCTATGCGTGACTTAGATGCACGTTCTGTTTGATTCTTTCGATAACATGTCAACTTATGTTGTGTAGGGTATCTTAGTCGAAATGAGTCAATGAAGTTAAGCGGTTGGGATAGGTCCGTGATGGTTCTTTCATCATTCTCCACGTACGCCGAGCATGGTGAGGGAATCTTCCATTTGTCTGGCCAGCGATCCGGGGCGGCATTGAAGTCTCTAGCCAGGATGATTGGAATACCTCCTAGCAGTTTGGTCTTCAGATATTCGAAGAAGTTCTGACGCTTTCCCAGTTCATTTGGGGCATATACATTTAAGATGCAAACCACCTCATCGCAAGTCGATAAACCCACCTGCCTTCTTCCTGGTCTGTCGCCCAGTTAAGGGGTTCCAACCTTGTTTCTGGGGGGAGCCATATGGTCACCCCACTTCTACCTGGTTTCGGGGCATGGGCGTTGTAGGCTTGGTGCGGCCAGATCTCTTTGTGCACAGGATAACTTTTTGGGCTGTCCAGCAGATGGGTTTCCTGTAGACATACCACATCGGGCCAATCCCTCCCTTCCACCCCTTTGAGCTGATCGATTATCGCTTGCTGCTTGGGTTGTTTTGTCGAGGCCAACCCACTTACATTGAGCGAATGCAGGTCGAGATCCGCTGCCCTCTTAGATAATTTCCATTGTTTATCCCGGTTGTATAACTCGCCAATCACGTTAATCTCATTCAGTTATATTCCTTTGGTGTGTCTGCAGGGGCTGTTTAGAGGGGCATCCATGACTGGGTTCTCAACAGCCCCCCGCTTTGCAGAGTTCCATTTATAATTAGTTTTGCCAAGCAGGTGGTGACTTTCGTCGCAGTCCAAAGGTCATTGGGTTAGCAGTTGCAGCTCCTGAAGCGCGTCCTAGTTGAACCAGCGAAGGTCCACATTCTTCCCCTGATCATATTAAATGTAGATATCTTTGGCTGCTAATCTCTGTTGGTCATACAAAACGACGAGGGAGGAGGAAAATCCTGGTGAGAGTTGATCCCTGATCAATTGAGCAACATCTAACTTGAGAGGGGTGGGGCCTCCTCCCCGTCTATGAATTCGCCCTAAGTACCGTCCGCCACACATTCAACTGTTCCACCTCTTTTCTGGTTATTTCTTGCCCCCCTCCCTTCGTTTCCTTGCCCCCCTGCGTTCCCATTGGTTTATCCTCCCTGTTCCTGATGGATTGTCTCATCTCTGTCTGCCCCCTCCTCTGCCTGATCCCCAACACCTGGTTCCTTATTAGTAGTTGTTCCCATGCCCGGGGTTGGGTTACCTTTTCCTCGCGATGTTGGGATTGTGACCGGGTCCACGTTCGTTCCATATGGAGAGGTACAGGCATTGCAGTGTGAGTCCGCAGGGTGGAATTGGTTGATCACTAGCTTCATAATTTTTTGGCAAACTTCCTGCCAATTGGAGCCTTCTAGGGGTCCTTTCTCCATAGCTGTTTTGAGGCTTGCACTGTTCTCTAGGAAGGGGATCAAATCTTTGTATGTTCCATCCCAAAACTCTTCGTCCCGTCTTTCATATTTCATTTGTAGATTTTCCATCAGCCAATCCACTTCTTTCTTCAACCAGTCCTCCTGGTGCTTGCTTCTTTTTCCTCCTCCTGTCGCTGGGCAACCTGTTCATCCCCTACATTTGACGCTTCCTCCATCTTGATCTCCGGGGGTGGGGGGGCTACTGGTATGGATTCCACCTCCATCGGGGGTGGCCCAAAGGTTTCCTCGAATGGGTCCCTCATTGGGTCTGACTGTGTTTCCGGTACTGTTTCCTTTTTTGTGTCGGCTCGACTTTCCTATTCTGCTCCTTCCTTTTGCTTTCTTGCCTCTCCATGGAGCCTTCTCCCTTCCCCTGGGCGCCCAGCAGTCGTCTTGTTGGTAGGTAAGCTGCCGGCGCTGGGCCCCAGGAGAGTTGCTTCTGTTTCTTTTGAGCGCATTTTTGTTGTTGTTGTATGTTTTGCGCCTGCATAGGTGTCTGCCTGGACTGGGGASCTGGGGGSGGGGGGGGGGGGGGGGGGGGGRGGTTGTTGTCCTCCAGGCTTTTGTGCTCGCTCCGTGGAAGGCTTAGCCAGGCGTCCCACGGGTCTGTTCTCCATTGCGCCCTACGGGGATGCCCAGTCCTGTGGGGGATTTGTGGGCCTGCACGGGTCTCCTCTTCCTTCCCAAGTCCATCCCTTGGGCTCCCTTCCCTTCTGATCCAGGTCCTCTACATAGACCCAGCCCTCATGGCCCAGGTCAACTGTGTACCACCTGTTGGGTCTGCGGGGGTCGCGTTGGAGACAACCAGTAGTCGGGCCCCTCTTGTTTGGGTGGTGGGGGCAGGCCGATTCTGTATTGAGGTGCCCGTATGCCCTGCACTTAAAACACCAGTGTCTAAACTTGTGAGCGGTATGGATTTGATATGTCTTTCCTCCCATTTTAAAAGGGATAATGTCGTCTATGGAGAAGGGCTGGTCTTTGGGGAGATCCAATGTCAGCATCACGTAGTCATCTCTCTTCGCCACATATGTTGGGAGCGGGTCAATGAAGTCCACTATGGTGTAGTGTTGACCCACGTGGTGGATAAAAGTGGCCTGCACTTCTACTGGGATATGCCTTAGTTCCACCCAAGAATAATTTTTCATCATTTGTTCTTTTTTTTCTTCTGGGCTTATCTTTTAGGGTTGCCATGGGAAGATACACACCTCTGACCTCTCCCATCGGACCTTCTTCCACCCATCCATCCCTTGCTTGTCTTGTATGAACAGGCTGAGCAGCGTGCTGAGTTAAACTTCTTTGAGTAGTTTGGGAATCCCCCAAGCCCCCCCTTCTTTTTCTCCGGGAAATATCATGTTTGCAGTAACCCTGTTCAAAAGTAGTCTGGGGCCTAGAACTCAGCCCCAAGCAACGCAGACCAAAGTTGGTCTGCGCTAGGTTGTGTGACCAGGACACGCCCAAGCCTGAGTCTGTCGCGTTTGGCTGTGTGACCAAACGCTGCACCCAGGAAAGTCAAGGGTCAAAGTCAACTGTAGAGTCAAAGGTACCGCGCCCAGGCCCTTGGTTGGATACACTCACTTGTTGTGCGCAGGTACCCAAACAACCATCCAGGCCGAAGGGAATTCAGTTTCAGGCCAATTTGGGCCTTCGTTTGCATCAAGATCTGGACGGCTAAACGGTGCAGCATCCGGGGTTCAGACCCCGAGTCAACGCTACTTAAGCGTTGACCTTCCTGGCTTTGACATTCATTCTGTCTCGCGTTGATGCTGACTTCACGCGTTGACTTCAACGCTGGCTCGACGCTGCGACGCTGGCATTGTGATTCGGCGAGGCGCTGCTGGTCCGGCATGGTGGCTGGCTTGCACCTATCTTCTTGCCATGCTAACGTGGCAACTGCCATGCGTTGTCGCTGATGTGGCTGCTGCGACGTGTATCATTGGCTGACGTGGCTTCTGCCACATGTTCCTTTGTTCGCTGTCGAAGCGAAGCTACGTGACTTGTATTGTTGTTCTGATTATCGTCATTCGAGAGGAGATCGGGACTGTGGAGAGATCGTGGATACGTACCTGGTTGTCTTCATGTCGACATTGCTCCAACATTGATGAGGGACTGATGAGACGTGCCGCGTGGCACATTGAGGTTACTTCAGATACTCGTTCAGACTATTGATTATTGAGGGGGTGATTGAGGAGGGAGCCCGAAGCAGGAGAGGGCCTTGTATTTATTTCCTTTCCTTTGTCTGATCTCCCTCCTCTCTTCTTCGTATGTGTATGATTATCTCATCTCATTCTGTTTGGACATGATTTTGACTATTGATAATCATCAGCTGGTTGACATTCATCTGGGCTTACATTGTTGACGACTGTCTTCACGATCTGGGTTCATTGCAATTTGGTATTGGAGCAGTTCTCACGCTTTTGTTTGAGTCGCCTATAGGTGTAGTGCCGCGGCCAATCCAACATCGCATTGAGATAGAGCCTGGCAGTAGGACCCCTAAGGGAGCCGTTTATAGAATGTCCCACGGGAGTTAGAGGAGTTGCGCAAGCAGTTAGACGAGCTCCTCGAAAAGGGTTGGATTAAGCCCAGTTCTTCTCCATTTGGAGCAAAGCTTCGTATATGCATTGACTATAGAGGTCTTAACGCCATTACAGTGAAGAATGCAGAACCACTACGCCGTATAGATGATCTACTAGATCGGGTGCAGGGCTGCAAATACTTCTCAAAGATAGACTTGAAGTCAAACTATCATCAGATAGAGTTCCATCCTGATGATCAACACAAAACGGTGTTTAGAACAAGATATGGGCACTATGAGTTTATAGTAATGCCCTTTGGACTAACCAATGCCCCAACTACCTTTCAGCGATGTATGAATGATTTGTTTAGGCCTTGGTTAGATAGATTTGTAGTAGTCTACTTAGATGATATTTTAGTCTTTCGCAAGACCCTCCAAGAGCATGAGGGTCATCTGAGGCAGGTCTTGGCAAAGCTGAGGGAAGCTAACTTCAAGATCAACGCTAAGAAGTGTGAGTGGGCCAAGACACAAGTCCTGTACTTGGGCCACGTCTTAGACGGAGATGGCATAAAGCCTGAGGACAACAAGATAGCGGTGATTAGAGATTGGCCAACGCCCTGCACAATGACAGAGTTGCGGCCGTTCCTAGGCTTAGCCAACTACTATAGAAAGTTTGTGAGGAACTTCTCCACCATCGGTGCACCCCTTCGCAGGTTGCCAAAGAAAGAAGCAATCTGGAAGTGGGACAAAGATTGTACATCAGCCCTGAAGAAGTTGAAGAGGGCTTTGATAGAATATCCCGTCCTCAAGGTAGCCGATCTGTCCTTGCCATTCGTTGTTACTACTGACGCGAGTCAGTACGACATAGGTGTTGTTTTACAGCAAGACGACGACAATGGATATAGACCCGTAGAGTTCATGTCTGCTAGGACGCCTTTAGAGAAGGTAGCAACATCAACCTATGAGAGGGAACTCTACGCTCTCAGGCAAGCACTAGACCACTGGAAGCACTACTTGCTTGGGAGGCACTTCAAAGTGTATTCAAACCACGAGACGCTGAGGTGGTTGAAGACACAGGCCAAGATGACACCTAAGCTTACTAGGTGGGCCGCAAAGTTAGATTAGTATGACTTTGAACTTAAGCCAGTCAAAGGAAAGTACAATGCATTTGCGGACGCCCTGAGTAGGAGAGCTGACTACTTTGGAGCGATAGTTCACTATCTGGATATAGGGAGAGGCCTGCAGCAAGAAGTCAGAAAAGCGTATGCGCAGGATCCTATCTATAGTGACCTCCTCAAGAGAGTTAGGGAGGCCCCAGAGTCCGAACCAGACTACCGCACTACTGATGGATTGCTATTTGAGAAGACTAATGTAGTTGACCGTCTGTGTTCCTAACAGTGAGGAGATCCGTAGTTTGATCTTAGGGGAATGCCACGACACAGAGGGACACTTTGGTTGGCAAAAGACACTAGCCAACCTCATGCGCGCGTATATATGGCCCGGTATGAAGGCCGACTGCATAGGGTATGTATGTAGTTGTAAAGTCTGTCAGAGAAACAAGACTACTACGCGAGCCCCTCTTGGTCTTCTCAGACCCTTGCCTATTCCTGACAAACCCGGAGATTCTGTGTCCATTGACTTTATGGATACTCAGGTCAAGAGTAGGCATGGCAAAAGTCAGGTCATGGTCATAGTTGATAGGTTTAGCAAGTATGCAATTTTTATCCCTTTGCCTTCAGAGGCACGAACAGATTTAGTAGTTTGAAAGTTCTTTGACCATTGGGTTAGTGAGCATGGTATACCACTGTCTATAGTTATGACAGAGACACCAGGTTCACTAGTCAGAACTGGCAGGAACTAATGAAAGTTTATGGTTCCAAGTTGTTGATGTCATCTGGCCGTTATCCTGAGACTAACGGTCAGACTGAACAGATGAACAAGCTCCTGCAACAAGTTCTGGGAATGTACATTAGGCCCGATCAGATCAATTGGGATGAGATGCTCCCAAAGGTAGCCAGTGCATACAATAACAGTGTGCACTTAGCCACATGTCGCACTCCCAACGAACTGCACAAGTCCTTTAGACTGCGCAGACCATTTGAAAGACTTAATCGGGATCAGATTCAGAGGCTACCGCCCGGTACACGAAAGTTTGCAATACAGCACGAAAAAGAGAGAGCTACCATTGTTGATAACCTCAGGAAGGCCCAGCACAGGATGATAGAGCAAGCTAATAAGCACCGTCGCCCCTCGCAGTTTCAAGTAGGCGACTTGGTCTGGGTCAAATCAAACGAGTTCGCTCCCGAGGAGAACATCTCACTGAAGTTATTACCCACATATCGAGGACCATAGCCAGTCTTAGAAGTAAAGGGCGGAGAGGATGGCCCGTCCTATACTATCGAGATTCCAGCGCACCTCCACACCTACCCAGTGTTCCACGCATCAAAGTTGTTGCCTTGTGTCACAAGTCAACAGTTTCCATCCCGGAGATCCATGATTCCTCCAGATATGGATGGAAGGTACGATATTGATGGTATAGTAGGAGAAGATGCAGAGGTCGTCCACAGAAACAGTATAAAGTTAGATTTTCCTATCAAGAGCCAGAAGACGACCGCTGGTTTACATGAACAGAACTTCTAGAGACGGCTCCCGATCTAGTCCGAGCCTACGAGAGAGATAAGAAGGGTAAAGGTCCTGCCTTAGACTGAAGCATTCTCGGAGGACCTCGAATTTAGGCCGGCGGGAGTGAAACAGTTTTCACCTTTTTGCAGTCACAGATGCTGGTCCTAGAGTTCGATCCCCAGACCTTACCAGTGTACAATATCGAGTCGACCCCTGTGTGTTTGAACCCGTGACCTGTGTTTTGGTAGCTGACTATAGTCTGTCATAGGTCTGTGTAGCCGTAGGGATTCGATCTGTAGATCTGTCGAGTAGGGGTCATAGTTGGGCAGAGGCCGTAGGTCAAGGTCGTAGCTGCTACAGTCCTGAAAGGTCAAGGTCGTTGCTGCTACAGTCCTGAAAGGCCAAGTCCACAGACTTCCGGAAGGTCCGGAAGTGGCCTTTCAAGTTTCTTCTCATGTTATTCACAGCAGACCTGGTGAATCCAACCTCGCTTAGTCAGCGGTACCCAGTCCCAGTCTCATTTTGCACAATCAGCAAGTACCATGAGGGACTGTGTAAACCATGGGCCCGGTGGAAAGGGGCAGACCAGCGACTTACAGAAATATAAATCAAGAGGCAGTCCCGCCATTCATTCATTGCTGCGTGAGCCATGCGGAAGCGCTGCCCCAGCGTCTTGTGCGAGGTGGTCTGCAGGTTGCCCAAGGTTGAAGTGGACTTGAAGAAGACAGTGTGCGATCGTTAGTAGTAGTGGCGGCCATAGCCGCCATAGCTAGTGTTAGATATTAGTGTGTGAGTTGCAGAGTGTAGGTGCGTGGGGTATTCAGGGTGATCCAGAGTTGAGTATGTGCGAACAGTGGTGTTGGACACAGTGACAAGAGTTGGAATGTTGAGGCGCCGATGCGCCATAGCCTGTTGAAGCAAGTTTACACCTGAACTGTGTTCGTGGCTTGATTATCTCTGAGCTTTGTGTGGCCGCACAGCGCCAGTGTGGACTTCCATCTGTTTGCATGTTGCGAAGTGAAGAAGAAAGCGAGTCTGATGGCAAATAAGCCGGGAGGAGAAAAATTGGACATGCAAGAATGGTTAAGCGGAGAGCAGGAAAAGAAACTGCTCCTTGGAGAACAGAAGGCTGCGAAGGAGGAGGAGACAAAGAAGCCGGAGGCTAAGTTGAGGGTGGAGTTGGCCCGCCACCTCCTGGATGCACTTACACCCTTGAACCCTTAAGCGAAGAGGAGGAATGGATCACCCAGGATAGCAGTCACGCTGATGCGCAGGTCAACGATCTGAAGAGTAAGCTACAGCTGGCAGAGCATATGAGGGAAGAGCTAGAGAAGCACCACACAATTTTAGCTGATACTAAAGCCCTGCGTGCCAGCCTTAGAGCGAAGACAGCAGATTAATAGATAGAAGGGGATGCCAACACAGCTACCACCATGGCCCTAGATAAGGCAGATAGCAAAGGCGCCCTGCTTGCAAAAGTCATGAGGAACAAAAGAAGGAAACCAGGAAGTAGTTTGAGGGGTTGAGTAAGGGGATTGCTAAATCTCTTGTAGACTTTGCCAGGAGCATAACCGAGGACAGGAAGGGACTTGCTAGAGAAGGAAGAGATTGAAGAGATGGAAAGGGAGATGGCAGTGGTAGAGGAAAGGACAAAGGGGCTGGTGGTGGTGGAGACGACCACCAGTTTGGATACAAGAGTAGGATGAAGGTGAAGCTCCCTTTTACTTATCATGGGAAGGAGGATCTGTTAGGATGTGAGGCTGCATTTAGAACCTACCTGTATGTTCAGAGGATCAAAGAATGGTAGAGATGTGCGACCTGGCTGCATTCCAGGCACGGCCAGTGGGTTATGAGAGCCACATCATAGCATACTCCCAGTCTACCTATTTCGAGGACGTTATGGGGGGGCCACACAAGGAAGGTTCACTGATAGGAATGAAGCTCTCAAAGCCTTTGACGTCGTGCTAAGAAAAGGACCACTGGAAGAGCGTAGCAGACCTGAAGGCTAAGTTAGATGGGTAAAAGCAGCTCCTGAACCACAGCTTAGCAGCCTCCCAAATACTCCACCACTTGCTCTAGCCTTGCCTGATCCGATTAGGAACAACCTACCTGCAGATGCTAGACAGTCAGGACAGACATAGAGTGCTTCTCTAGAAGGTGATAGAGATGGAGGCTTACATGAAGCGTACTCGCTTCCCCATGTTTAAAGACCTGTACCAAGGGAAGAAATTGACGGAGAACCAGGAGAAGACAATCGCTGAACCCTTGGCACAGGTAGTTACTTTGCATGAGTTCATTGACGTCAATTTGTGACTTCCAACCAAATTGCTATTAGACTGATGTTATATGTCTGCCGATGTCCACCTGTGTGATAAAATGGGGAAGTTTGTGGGTGTAGACTTTGGATATCCTCCTGTTCGGGCTGTTGGCCTTGCTACTTCTCTATTTGGAACACCCAGAATCATTATGGATTTTCTGACCTGCTCGATGTTGAGGACTGGAAATGACTCCATGGAGCAGTGGGAGGTCATTAACTCATATTAAACGGGTTGGCGATGGAGTCGAGTTTTTTGTTGATTAGTGACTTGAGGCCCACTCTTTTATGTGTGAGGATTGAGCCCTCAAGTAGGGGCCTTGCCATGAAGTACATGTTCTGGGCTAAGGCCCCAGCAAGCCTAGTGCCCGCCCTAAGTGAAGGCGGGCCAGCAAATCGACAAGAGCCCTYTGTGCAACRTTTCACGAWGTGGGGTTCATACAGTTGCAGCACGCCAGTTGGTTGGAGTGCACCGAGTCTCGGATTTCAGCAAATGCTGAAAGCCCAGGGCCTCTGAGTTGGTTAGGCCCTGGGCATCTGAACGTGAGGCCGACAATGCATGCTGGGAAGAGAGGCCGAAAATGCCAAAGGGAAATCGGCCCACTGTCTGAATCTGGCCGCAGGCCTTGATGAAGGAGGCGCAACTGCCTTACCCCGGGGCCGAACTGTATCGAGTTGGCTTCAGCCTCTGGGCCCCGGTCACAGGCTGAAGGAAGGCCGCCCACACACTGCACTGGCATATAGGCAAGCAGGGCGAGGCAGCGAGGATCTTGCCCAATGCTGGCATATGCGGGCACGCTGCGCAGATGCAGGTGTGCTGCGCTAATGCAGAGCAGCGCTGCGCTAAGAAGAAGCAGGGCAGCGYTAGGCGGTAGGGCGCTGCCTGCTTGCAGAGCACTGGCGGCCATAGCCGGGCCGCAAGAGGGTGCAGGGGAGGTGAGGGCGAAGGTGGTACTTCGGAGGTGAAGGGCGCTGTGTGGGTAACAAGGGAGAGTGTGGGGAAGATGACACGTACCTGGTGATGGTGGAGGTCTGCGTTGGTGTTGACATCATCACTCGCTGGTAGTCAAGTTGTCTGGTTGCTGTTCATTGCTGTAGTTGTAGGATAGGCGGTAGAGTAGATAGGGCGCCTGGCGCCATTCACAAGAGAGAGCTACATTTGGGTTATGCTGTTGGTGTTGCCCTGGTGGGCATGGACATTGACTCACGATTCTTCTGTATCATTCTCAATGGGATGGTTACTCGGTTCCATGTGCTATCTGCTTTGGCTTTGAATACTTGGACTTCAGTGTGATTTTGCATTCCGGATTTCTGTTCTTCTTCCATACTCATGTTCCTTGCATATGCCTTTTTGCAGGAGTTTGGACTTTGTCAGGGAGTTGCATGTGCAGTCCCAGATCCCTAACAAATGCACATCCATGATACTGTTTATGTGGAAGTACCGGGCTTCTATAGTAGGCATAAAATCAAGATTAATGATAGCCTGCAAGTGTGGTCCCTATGTTGAGATGGCTGTGAGGAAGCGTTCTATTGACCTGGAGTTGGAATCCAGCGGCCTTGTAGGTGCTGACATTAGTGAGCTCAGTATGTTTGTGACACGTAGTCCTTTGGTGTTGCTCTTTCCCTGTTCTGTGAATGGACATCTGGGTTTGAAAGTCTGCAATGCCATTGATGACTGCTTGGTAGGCGTGGGCGTAAGACTGTCTGAGCAAGCCATCCAACACATTCCAACTTTGTGGTTTCACCCTAAGCAGTGCATATTCTTCTATCTGTGGTTTGGGTGCCACTTCTGTGGCAGAGGAATATGGACGTGCATCAGCAGCCCGAGGAACTGACACTCGGAAAGCAGAGAGAAGTTGGGTCTGCAGGTGATTCAGCATTTGTCCAGCAGAAACAGCCTCCCGTGGAGGAGACATTGCGTCAGAAAGTGCAGGAAGTGACACTCCAAGTTGCAGACACCTCACCTGATCTCAGAGAACAGTCATTAAGGCTTAGGTCAGATGAAGATAATCGGAAGGCGAAGCCCTTATCAGAAGAAACAAGACTTATGCAGCTTGTGCATACAAACCTGGGCACATCAGATGTGTCACAGCTGCATTTTCCCTTGGTGGACGCCCAGCAGAAGCAACTACCGGAAGCAAGCCACATTATGCAGCCAGAGTTGGTGCTGCGTCCTGAGCAACACCAGCAGGAGGACCCATTGGCACAAGAGGTAGAGTGCGTCTCCCCAAAAGGTAATATGCAGTCAGGGCCAGCTCAACTATGTGAGCAGCTCCAGTCCACAACTAACCCACTCAATGAACAAAGTTCACCTCTCTCTGCATCTCATGCTGCCTCACCAGATGCCCCTGACGTCAGGCCACAGACACCACAGCATGATATTGTGCTGCACCAGAACATCCAGGCAGTGGATGCATCACCACACCATGTTCAATGTGCCCCAGAACATCATCAGGGTTTGACGTTGTTGCAGAAGAACATCCCATTGGTGCAGTCTGATGTGACGTCATTGGAGGACAAAGAAGCGCAACTTCCGGCACAGGAGATGGTGCATCTGGGAGCTGCACAGTTGCTGCAGATCTCAGAGCTATGTCAGCAAAAGGGGCGAAACGACCAGCAACAGCAGCAGACAGGTGGTCCATTGCAGCAGCAGCAAGTGCAGTTGTTACAGCGACAGTTAGCGGAAATACTGCAGCTGCTCCGGGAACAGCAGCAACAGGGACACAGGAGGCGAAAGCGTTCGTCAACACAACGCCGGGCAAGACGACGGCAAGATGACGGCATTGCTAGTGGGAGAGCTGCTGATGGTGAAGTCTCCCCATGCCATCCGTTGTCATCCGATAGTGGCTCAGGGTCAGAAATGCATAGTGCGCCAATCTGTCTTGCGAAGAACAATGTGACAGGCAGGGTTTTAAGGTCTGCCTTGAACAAAGAAGGCACAGCTTCTTCAGGGGTGCTGCTGCAACGCTGTCACTCGCAGTGCCATCAAAATGAGGCACGGGACTTAACAAACAAGGACCGTAGTAAATGTGCAAAGTTAGGAAAACGACGAAAAACAGCAGTGGCTGGAGAAAGAACAGCTGACCGCTTAGAGACCTTATTGAATTCGTGCAGTGATATGGACGGCCAGCCGAGCTGTCGAAGCCCTTCCTCATCATGGTATGGGGAGCATACTGCAGGCAAGAGGCTCACGGACTCCCAGAAAGAACTTTCACGTCTTGAAGATGCTCCAGAGGACGGTGGCCTCGCAGTTGGCCGAAGATATGACAATGTGAACTTGGTTCGCAAGGCTGTGGCAGATGCTGCGGTTGCAGGCCATTTTGAGTTGAAGTTGGTGAAGTCAAGTCTACAGCGGTACACAGTGGTGTGCCGTGAGGAAGGATGCGAGTGGAGGTTACATGCATCAGCAGTCCATGGTGGGCCAGAATTCGAGATTAGAAGCATCCGCAACCACACATGTGATGGTATAAACCACTTTGCCAATCGCCAAGCAACATCGAGCTGGGTGGCCGACCGCATTGTGGATAAGCTCAGGGACTCACCACACTACACGCCCAGGGACATCATAGATGATCTGCAGCGCGCAATAGGAGTAACAATATCATATCACCGAGCATGGCGAGGCAAGGAGGTGGCCATGACAAGGATTGCAGGCTCAGAGGATGATGGCTATAAGCATTTGCGGCGGTACTGTGCTCAGGTTGTAAACATGAACCCAGGAAGCTGTGCTTTTGTTGATGTTGAGGGCGAAACAAATCAGTTCCATCGTCTCTTTGTTGCTTTTGGGCCATGCTTGGCTGGTTTCCGCCACTGTCTACCTCTCATTGGTGTTGATGCGACTCAAGTTACAAGCAAACATCCAGGCGTTTTGCTGACTGCATCTGGTTTTGATGCACGAGGTGAGGTGTTTCCCATTGCATTTGCAGTGGTTGATATTGAAAATGATGACAATTGGCTGTGGTTTCTGCAGAGTCTAAAGGCGGCTTTAGACGGCCATGGCTTGGCCGGACGGTCAATAACATTCCTGTCAAACCGCCAGAATGGTATTGCGGATGGTGTGACCGCTGTTTTTGGAGAAATGCCACATGCGTACTGCATGTGCCACTTGGCCGAGACTCTACGTCAACACTTCAAACATCCACAAATAGCTAAGTGCCTCTGGAAAGCAGCACATGCCATGACTCGTTCCCGTTTTGAGGATGCAATAAAGGAAATGCAGGATGTTGATTCCCCAGCAGCAGCATGGCTCTTGAAAACTGCAGACCCAGTGTATTGGAGCACAGCACTCTTCCCTGGGAAACGGTATGGCCATCTAACATCGAACATTTCAGAGTCGTTGAACTCGTGGTTGATTGAGGCGAAGGAGTTGGCGCCTCTGTACATGATGGAGGCTCTACATCAGCAGATAAGCAAGTCATTTGCAGAGCGCAGTGTAGCAGCATCTGCCATGGAAGGTGAACTTGTTGCGGAGGCGGATGCTTGTGTACAGAGGGCGATATGCGAAGCCCATTACTGTAAAGCGCTACCGGCAAGCTCGGACGAGTTTGAGATTATTTCAGAGAATTCATCATATGTTGTGCATATAAGCGCAAAGACATGCACTTGCCGGGGCTGGCAGTGCACTGGTACTCCCTGTGCACATGCCGCATGTGCCTTAATGTACTTGCAGGAGCGTGTAGAGATGCACTGTGAAAGGTATTTCTCTGTTGAAACCTATTGCAACACATATGCTTCCAGCCTGCAGACCATTCAAGTGATTGACTGCCGCGATGAGAATGCAACTGTGGAGGCAAGCAGTGCTGATAGCAACCCCGCGCCTTCTGAGCAAGATGTGCTTCCTCCATCTACTAAACGACCTGCAGGCCGTCCTCGGAAATGGAGAACCAGTCCAGAAGAGTTGAGTGCCCAGAAGCGAATTTTCAAATGCAGTCGTTGCAAAGGTGAAGGCCACTCACGGCGCACTTGTCGGGACTTGACGACGGCTGATAATCTGGTAGAGGTTACCTCTCATCAAATGATCGAACCGTCACGTGATCATGGGACTAGGGTGGACAGATCTCCCTCTCATCTCTAGACAGTTTGGCATCAACCAAACTTCAGTCATGGACGAGAGTTTGTTACAAGAATTTGTTGTGGTTATCCTTTTTCTGCGGGTGCTTTCTTTTGCAGTTCAGTTGTAATACGTTCCTGGTGATTTGTTGTGGAAGAGAGATTTTTACTTTGTGTGGTCTGCCACACATTGTGACGTGAATGTGGCAGGACATGTGCATGAGTTGAAGGACCGGGATAGCTGGAGGTTGAGCTCTTGTGCCTGGAAAGACATTGTGTGATTCACTGATTCCACTTCGTGCATGTGAGGATCATGTTTCTGCATCTTTGCGAGCGAGGGATGAATCCATATCAATGGATAACAGCCTGGGCAATCGCGGTGCCAAGTCTGCACTGGCGGTTGTAGCTGCCATCGTGGAAACATCAGAAGTTGTGGAAGCAGGCGAACAGCTCGTGTCGGAATGTGCCTGTGGAGGGCCATGGGTTTCATGCTTGCGAAACCGTTGTACTTTAGGGGAGCTCATCAGGCAGACGTACAATGAAGGATCTCCCCATGTTTCAACCCCGCTAAGGTCATAATCATTTTGTGGTGTTTACACTGGGAGAAGCACCAGCAGTGTGTTACAGGTAGTGAGCTGAGTTCATAGTCTGGGATGAGCTATGGCTTATATCGGCAGGCGTGTTGGTACGGGCCAGTTTCTTGGGGGTGCGCTGTCAGCTTTGATGTCTCAGCACCAGGGTCGGATATTATTATCATATGTATGTTTTTGGAGTAAAGAAACTACTATGGATCAATTTGGATTCCTGTCGTCATCTGTACTGGGGAACATGGAACTCAGCTCTTGTGGTTTGTGTTGGACACATCATGTCATACCTGTCTGCCGTGGAATTGTTTTCTTTTGAATCTTTTCTTTTTTCTGTCTGCCATAGAGTACTTTGTACTTTGCCTCATTTGACAGTACAAATTTGTGAGAAGCTACAGTCAGATGGCCAGATTTGGTACTTCGCTTTTTCGGAAGGTGAAGATTACTCTGAGGCATCGGGCGATGAAAATGCACAGTGAGTCAGTGACCCTTGGTGGTGTGCTTCATCTCGTGTCTCTGTGAAACAAAAAGGAAGAACAACATTTGTCCTGGATTCCTGCATGAATTGCCGCCACTCTGCTATGGAATGAATGCAATTGTTGCTAATGGCATAATCAATGTCATTGTCAGTGAATGGATGCATGCAATTTTGAGTTTTTTGTTTCGTTTTTGTTCTGGCCTGTTTCAGGCTGTTTGAGTTTTCGACGACATTGCTTGTGGTGATGCAGCAAAAAAAACCGAATTTTGGGCCTTCCTTTAACCATCTCTCCAAGCATAAGACGATGGGCCAATGCCATGCGAATTCGCGCAACCTCATCGCCATTTGTGCATTGAGCCTAGACAGGTAAATCATATAATCTGACCACCATTCTATCTGTTATCAGTCAAGTCCCTGTACATGAACTGCTCAAAACGGTGATCAGACGCAAGGGTTTTGAAGCAGAATATCACAAGAGACTTGTGCAGGACCTTGTTGATGTCAGCGCTGTTGCATCTTTGAGTCAAAATCATATGTTTTCTGAACCGTTTGTTCATTTTATTCTTTTGTCAGAGGAGTCCCTGGATGCATCCAAGTCCTTACTTGCCATGCCAAGACGGAGGAACAAACTTAAACCATCAGTATCTTTCCCATATATTGGCCATGGGGCCCTCACCGCAACTTCCGGAGGCCCGAAACGCAACACGAGGCCCCGATGAATTTATCAACAGCGGCCCGGCCCCGAAAGATACCCTTGTTAACTGCCGCACAATTGTTTTTCAAGCGGGGAAGGGTACCGGTGGTCTAAATGTCGATTTGGTGCCTTTAAGCTTTCATGGGCATGTTCTTTTACAGTTTCTATGATCTCTTTTGCAACATGGGCACTGAAACATGTGCATGAACCTGATCGACTTCTATTCTTACACTGCATCTGCAACTGGGGCGTTTTTTCCCCCTAACCAGCAACAGGGCCTTATTGTCCTGGCTCTTTTTCCATTCTGGGGAGCTTCAGTTTGGTTCCTTTTCCACCGTCAAGTCATAATGCGATACTAGTTTACTAGTCTGCCTGCCCTCAGAATGCAAGGAACCACCCAGCAAGAACGCCAAATCTCTGAGACGTGAAAGGTCGCAGGAGACCAAACATGAGTGAGCTGAGTTATAAAGCAGAATTTCACAAGCCTAAAGCACATCAATTAGAAACAAACTGGACATGGAAGTCTCTTGACGAAGAAGGCCCAACTTCTCGCCTCCAATAATCAATACAAATAACAATGTAGTTGCTCGGCTGCGATGTGTCCGCCTTACAGTCCTCTCCACTCTTACTACACACACTAGTCTTCTATCCTCACACTCTGTGTGTCCACATGTCACCCTCCAGATGCTGCTGAAGAGTCTGTTCACGCAGGTATCCCTTGCCAAGATCCGGTCAGTACCACCAGTTACCACCGTCTTCCTTCTCTTCGCTGACCTCCTCAACACCTGGGCATCCAGCTCCCTGCTGAGCACTGCCCAGCTTGGGAAGGCACTAGCGCAGCAGCCACTCCAGCTGCCTGCTCTCGCCCAGATGCTGTCTGGCTGCAATGTGCTGCTACAGCACTGCTGCATGCTGCCAATGCCTGAATGTGTAGCACTCCTCGGCCTCCTCCCTTTTGCCTTGTCTGCAGGCCGGGGTCTGGGTCAAAGAAGGCAGTCCCTACTGCCTATCGGACTGAGTTCGGGTCCCGGCCCATACAACTTAACGCAGAGGCTGGGCCTACCCGTTAGTTACATGGACTGGGGGGTATACTCTACCCAATATTTCCAGGCATGACCTTTACTTAACCGTGGCAAGATAACCTCCCTCATGTCCCTCCCTTCCTTCAACACAATGCTCTCTCTCTCTCTCTCTCTCTCTCTCTCTCTCTCTCTCTCTCTCTCTCTCTTTTCCTCTCTCTCTCTCTCTCTCCCACACACACTCTCTCACATTGAATCCATTTCTGTTCCTCTCTCTGATCCCAGGTGGCATTGATGCTTGTGTTCGTCGTTGTCATCAACCGTCATCACCACGCAATGAACCCAGATCGTGAAGACACTTGTCAACAATACAAACCCAGATAGATATCAACCTGCTGATGATTGTCAATAATCATAGTCGTGTCCAAATAGAATGAGATGGGAAAACATACACAGACGAAGGAGAAAGAAGGGAGAATAGACTTAGAGTGGAGAAAGAAGACAATGCCCACTGCTGCCTCGGGCTCTCTCCTCGATCGCCACCTCAATAATCAATAGTCTGAACGCGAATCTGAAGTTCTATCACAATGTGCCACGTGGCACGTCAATCTGTCCTCAGCAGCAAACTGGAGCAATGTCGACATCAAGAAAACCAGGTACGTATCTACAGTCGCCCCACAGTTACGATCTCCTCCCGAGTGAC